ATGCTACGTGTTGATAATGCTATGTATTGAAAATGCTATTAAATATATAGGAATTGCTTTTTAATTAGTACAAGTGTTTATCGCCAAATCTCTCTTTTCTTAAATCGTAATTTTAGTTCTCGACAAGTTCTAACTGCAGTGGTATAATAATTTATTGGTGCATTCATATCCACTAGCTCGACGTCGTACTTTCTGTATAATAGGGACAAAGAGGTCTTTAACTCTAGCATTGCTAAATTTCTCCCAGGACCTATTAAAAAAGAAATGGATATTCTTATTGAACATATTCTATGTAAAATCGTATCTACAATATTGTATCTAATAAATAAAATAACTTACACTTTTTCATACCACCACCGAAAATATAAAGGGAATTTTTACTCTCTGGATTATTTTTATCCATAAACCTATCTGGATTAAATTCTTCCGGATTCGACCATAAAGACTTTTGTTTATGAATACCCTGTAGATTGATGTAGAATTGGGTGTCCGCGGGATAGAGTAGACCACCAACTATATCCGGATTAGTATTTTTCTTAAACATTACGGGAATAATGCTAAATACTCGTAAACCTAAAAAATAAATAACAAATAGATAATTTTTTAGAATATACATTGAATTCCAGAGACATATTTCTCTTTGTATTTAGTAAACAAGTATTATTACATTCTCGAATTGAAGCTTCACAATATTTAAGTTTCCCTATATCTTCAAAAGTAATTTGATGGTTAGGATCTTTTCCAAAGACTCGGTCAATTTCTTCTACTAGCCGTTCTCTAACATTTGGATAGTGAGACAGGAAATGAACTATAAAGCAGAGCGTGTTCGATGACTAAGTAATAATAAAAAGGTTATCGGAAAATTAATTTTAGATGTATAAAATAATTTCTAAAGAATAAAATTATCAAAATTACAATTACTCACTGTATCAATTCCAGCTGACACAGCTTCCAAAAAGTTTCCGCTGATTTCTTCATCAGACATTGGTTGATCGTGTAAACTGTCCGCAATCTTTTCGGTGACATCACGTGGAGTATTGATCGTTAAGAACATCGTTAATAAATCATGAGTTAACTCTTGGTCTTCGGGTGTTCTTTCAATCTCTTTTCTTCTCTCCTTAACAATATTACGAATACTATCCTTTAGCCAGAAGAAGTGTCCTTTTAATTTCTGGACATACCATCTAACTCCAGGAAAGTCTCTAATGAACTTTGGAAACAACATAAAGTACAAAACGCACA